TGGGTCTGAGTTTAGTGCATACTCTATCAAGGTAATTCTTGGTCATATCTGAACTCCTTGTTTCCCCTCATTCCTCCTGGGCTTGTTTCTCAGTTTGAATTTCTTGGTTTTTACAGAAAAATGAAGTTGAGGATAACGTCCCAGAACCCAGTGGCCCGCCCCTTAAGTTAAAATTGAGGAGGTTTGTGCAGAAGCGCCCCACTGGGTCTGAGTGTAGTGCTTACTCTATCAAGGTAATGTTTATGTCCACTATTAACTGTTGTATTTTTATTTCTGTCTTATATTTTCTCCCTTGCCCCTTCTTTTTCTGTCTCTTGGTTAAAGTTTTTTGTTGTTTTTTTTTTTTTGTTTTTTTTAAATCTTTTTGCAGAGAAATAAAAGTGATGGCTGTGAAATTTTGGATCCAGATTCAGAGGTGAGTGACTTTTTAAAATAAAAGAAGTTGTTGTTTTTTTGTTTGTTTGTTTTTTTCCTTTAAGTTGACTTGCAACTTGAAGCTTTCATTGGTTGCTTATGTGTTTATGTCTGTTGCAGACTGATTCACCCCGGCACACTCACTGTGGCCTGATAAACATAAAAATTACTTGCTTTTTAAATGCAACTCTCCAAGTAAGCTAAAGCTGTCATCATTCATGCATTTTTGCATTGAACATTGAAAGAAGGGCGATTTGTCTAATTATGTTTTCATCATCTGAACTAAAATTTCCAATTTGATTTTCTTTTGACTATTCCTAGGCTTTGTTTCATGTGCCTGCTTTTTCTGAGTTTGTTCTTAGTGAGGAACATGAAAAGAAATGTCTGCATTCAAGCTGTCTCAGGTGTGCTTTGAGAGTTACATTAACTAGTATGGTCAGCAGCACTGAATCAGCAATTAGCCCCTCTCTAGTATTGGCAATTCTGCCAGGTATGTTTATCATAACTATTAAAGTTAGACTCTCATACAAGTAACTGCTTGTTGGTTTCAAAATTTTATCAATTGTTAGTACTTATCTTGTTCTATCTTTGTTTAAGATTTTTGGGAAGAATTTATTCTTGGAGAGCAACAAGACGCTCACGAGCTGCTCATCAAATTCCTATGTGTTCTAGGAAAGCAGGTTTCCTCCACTGAAGAGCTTAGCTCCATCTTTGAGGGAGTTCTAGACAGAAGAGGTAAGCAAAGACATATAGGTTGATTTTATTTTTTACCCTCATCCCCCATGGTTGTTATGCATACATGTGAGCAAACAAGGGTTAACATTTACAATATTCCTGTTATGTCAATTTTAAAGATAGGTGTTCAGACTGTGACAAAATAAGAGAGAGCATCTCACCCCTCCAGTTTCTTTTTGTTAATCTTCATGATACCATGACTTCTGTGGCCCAAGCCATTAATCAGCAGCTACAGCTGGAAGAGGAGATCTTAGCCCTATGTAGTTTCTGTCAGAGACATACCACATTAGTAAGAAAAGAAACGATCAAAGACTATCCAAAGTCCCTGATTGTAGTGTTAGCAAGGTAGTGTGATTTCAGTTCAGACTCCCTCTGTTACATGTTCATACTTAACTGTGCTAATATTCTATTTTGAATTGTTTCTCGCTTTTGAACATGCATTCTATATTTTGCTAGATTTAATTTTGAGAACGGGGAAGGTGTCAAACTATCTTCAAATCTGAAAGTAGATTGCTCACTTAGAGTGGGAAAAGCTGCATACAAATTCCAGAGTGCAGTTTCTCATATTGGTCCAACAATTAGATCTGGCCATTACGTTGCTGTGGCACAGTGCCCAGACGGATCCTTTACCAGCTTTGATGACACTGAAGTGAATCATTTTCATTATTTTTCTTGCTAGATATCTTTGCCAATAAGTTTAATTTCCTGTTATTGATTTTTGTTTCTTTTCTTTTGTGCAGGTGTTTTCCAATGCATCTCTAGATGAATTATTGCACTTAAGAAAAGGCTTATACATAGCTATCTATGAATTGGAAGGCTTCACAACGGTAATGTTTGGTTTGCCAATATAGTTAGACATCACATTTTCCTTTTGAATTTTTTTTCCAATTTCTCCCGTTCTTCTTCTTTTTTATTCCCTCTCCCCTAGGAAACAAATATCCCTGACTTATTGTGTGGTGATGGAGCAGCGATACCTCACAATAACAGCCCACCACTTCCAGACATTCTGTCAGATCTCGATACAATGCCTTCAGCAGCTATGCTTGTTAAACCACCTGTAAGACTGCTTGTTTTCTTATGGTATGGAATAACTCTGCCCTTGTTTTATTATTAATATTTATGTGTGTGTCGTTTGTAGGTTTTGATTCCTTGTGATAACGCTTTGTCCAAGCAGGTATTTTTTATTAAGGTTTCGGCTCTTATAGATAATCAGTTTGAAAAAAAAAAATCTTCAATTTGTCTGATATTTGAGTAACCCAATCTTTTTTCAGCAGCTTCCTGTCATAAAGTTTAGGCCAGTGTTTCTCACTCCTGGAGAGGTGCCTGGTGCCATACTTCCTAAATCTATTCTTGAAAAGAATAATGTGGGGGAACTGAGCCGCTGGCTGCAATGCAGAAACCTGCCAGCATATGGGAAAAAAGAAGAACTTCTTTTGAGGTTTGTATTGTTTTGACTTTTAACCCAGGTACATATTGTGTTACCACAATCACATTGCATGATCATTATTTTTTTCTCCAGGGTAAAAAATTGTATTGCAATGGGCAGAGAAAATATTATTGACCCAAAAACTGATGGGGGGAAATGGTACCAGTTGAAAAGGGAATCCATGCAATTAGCCAACTTTGTAAGTCCCTGTTATTTTTTTACAAGTTTAATCAACCAAAGTTGCTACTGTTGCCTCTGTTTTGTTCTAAATTACACTCAAAAATTTAGTTTTTCTTAGTTTTCCTATGTATTTTCCAGACTTCTCAAACGGTTGGGCTACAAGTTACCTTTCCATCAGGAGAGTGGGATGTATTTCCTTCTAAAGACTTGCCCACATCGTTTAATTTTGGCAGCATTTACCATTACACTGTCGAGTCTATGCCTTCTCTCCTTGATTTATGTGATTCAAACCAAGATACTTCTGATGATGAAGCTATGAATTTTGATGGTCAAAGTGCTGTAAATGTATGTGAAGAATCACATATAAAAAAGAACAAACCTATGAGACGTGGACTGATGTTTGTCAAAAGTGGATGGGTTCGAAATGTGAGAGACATTGTGCAGGGAGGCATACATTTTATTAAAGCAGAAGTGAGAGCTTCAATGGCTAAGAAAGCATATGAAGTTCGCATTGCAATTTCTGATATATCTGGAAATGTTCATCATGGTCAGTGTGATGTTTGCCCCCAACATGCATTAGGAAGATGCTCGCATGTCAGCGCACTGCTGATGTTCATTCTTACACACATCAGAATAAATGGTCACAAAGGTAAATAACACATCTCACTTGTTACATTGCAGATTTTAGTAACATAAAATATATTGTTTTTAACATTTTGACAAAAAGTACATTTTTACAATTCAAATAATGGTTTTGATCAGGAGTTAATATCAGCACAAAACAATTCATTATCATAATATTTTTCCTATTGTATTTTTTTAATCAGCTTTGCTAGCTTTCACAAAATTTCATTTACTTTTGAGAAACAAATCCCTCCTTCGCAGGGTTTACTGTTGAAGTGAAGGAGAGTTGGGAGTAGGTGGCTCTGATGATTCAGGGTTTGTCGAATGTTTGAAGCATTTAGTTATTATTCTTGGAGGGGAAAAGTTTCTAAGATAAGCAGCAATATACACCAAATAAGGAAGAGAGGCATAGAGTTTTAGAGGTATAGTGCCCCGCAGCAAACGATTGTCTTTTATATCAGCAATAGCGTGCTCACTATATATTCTTACACTAGCTATTGCTTTGGTCAGCACCTCTTCTTCTGCTGTGAGGCATGGGCGCTCTCCCAAGCTAGGTGGCTTTATATGCTCCACACCAATGGCTTGCAGTTCTGAAGTAATTTCAAATCCTCTGTCTGTCATAACTTGATCTTTCTTATTTAAACGAGACAAAAGTCCACTTGTTAAAACTGCTTCTTTTTCAGTCAAAGCTCCTTCGCAAGCAGGGCTCACATAAACAGTCCCCCCAGAGCAGGAGATTCCTATGATAACTCTGACAGTATTATCAGACTTATACTGGGAATATGTGTTACCTTGCATCTGAAAGTTACTGGGGCTCTCAATTCGAAATTCCACACCATCCAAAATTATTCTGAGTCGTTTAAAGGGCCACATTTGCATTGGTTTATTTAGCCTCTGTTCCGCAGCAGATGGAAAGCAATCTGCTTCAATATTTTTTAGCGTGAAGTAGAGTAAGTTAGTCATTGTATAGCAGATATTTCCTGCATGCGATTTACCAATTCCAAAAAGAACACCTAGGTCTACAAGAGGATAGCCTCTTCGTAGGCGTAAAAGAAACATCAGCAGGCGGTCCTTATATCCAACTTTTAGATGCTCCTCGTCCTTCACTTTTGTGGGAGTAGTTTGCTTGTACTCATACTTTAGTCTGGACATAATATTTTCCCCTCCTATCAACGCATACAATGCTTCAAAATTCTCAGATGATAGTCCAGTGAAAAACTCAAAGTCTTTACGTAATGAGCACCTGTCATATGTGACAAAATTTGCTTGGACTCCTACATCTTCCAATATTGGTTTCTATAAACAAGTTTTGATTTAAGAAAACAATCACAATCTAACATTCAAGAATAATACTACATTTTATCAGGGCTAGTACTCACATCTGTTTGGGTACTCTTCGATTTCATTTTCTTTGAGTCATCCTCAGAGTCATCAATGTCGTTTGTGTCTAATAAATCATTATCAATATCAGATGTATCCTGAAACAAAATTATTCAACTGTTTAAAACATTACCTAATTTTCAACATCTTTTGTCCGCAGCTATAACTTGCACTTCCATGCCCTGTGTCTGGAATCGAGGATCACTGGTGCGAGATCCTGGACAAGTGCTTCAGAAAAAATATGACTCTTTCCAAGTGGATGTTCAGCGACGTGCTAATTTTGACCCCCGACCCACTGCAGAACAAACCGTCCCAAGAAGTAGAATCAATGACTTTTTAGCATCTCTCAGTGGGAGAGATCCAGAGTGTCAATGGTCTCTTTTGATGAGTATTAAATATGAAGAACCATCTTTTACTGATGATGATTTTAAATGCTTCAGGAGGTGCAGGGATGACTTTATAAAAGAGATGCAAGGTACAGTTTTGGCACTTCCATTAAAACACAACAAGATTGTCATAGAATTTCCTGACACTACCCTGCAAGGCAAGAGTGACTCATGGCTGGCTTGGCGGAGATGGTTTCCTACATCATCTTGTGCTAGACAAATTGATAACATGAGCTCAGTGACCAGAAAGGATTTTTTAAGGCGGCATTTGTGGCAAATTGAAGCTGGTTGTAAGACTAATGCCATGTTGTATGGGCAGACAAATGAAGAAAACGCTCGCAAAAAGTATGAGCTTTTGAAGAAAGAAAAAGATAAATCAGTAAAGGTAGTTGCAGTAGGTCTTATAACAAACAAGGACTGCATTGGAATTGCTGGAAGCCCTGATGGATTTGTAACATCTGATTACGAACCAATGAAATTGTTGGAAATCAAATGTCCTTACATGTTAAGAAATCATGATCCAAATAAATTTGAAACAGTGCTGTCCAAAGATCAACTTAGTAGATTTTGTCTGACTATTAACAATGGTGAAATCACCTTAAAAAGAACTCATCAATATTATGACCAGGTTCAAGTTATGATGGGTCTGGCCGGTCTAGCATCTTGTGATTTTTTTGTTTGGTCACCAAAAGGTGAAGTTACTGCAAGAGTCCCTTTTGACAAGAATAGATGGGATGAACTTCGAGAGAGTCTAATGACATTTTACAGGACAGTTCTAGTGGTTGACTATATAGTGATGAAAACTCCAAGAAAACTGTCACCACTACAGCTTGATTAGATAAATATGTGTTAAACTTACCTCAGATTGAAGACTTATAATTTTCCTTGTTGGCCCTGGGGGTCTTCCCTTTCTTGAAACGCTTTTATCCAATGTGCCGGGCTAAGAAAGAAACATACTGTATATGAATCTAGTTTAACTAAAGATTCTCATAAAATTCACATGAGTTTACATACGTTACTTGAATTTTGCTTATACAACAGTAATAAGTCTGCTTGTTTAAGTTCAGAAGAAATCAAAAAATTTCCATATGATGTCAAGCGAATCTAGAGACCAATGAATAATTGTTTAGTTTTTCCACACTTAATGAAAATGTGTGTACTGTGATTATTTTTTTATAAAACTTTAACCAAAGAATTTTAACAATGTTAATGTGGAATCAATAAATCTATTACTATATCTTACCTTTGTATCCTCAAACACCCGAAGAGAACCGTCTGGGCACACAGTTGTTATTTGAGGAGAACTTCTATCTGATTCAGCAATACAGGAGAGTAACTCATACTTGTGATGGTGGACAGTTAGACTGCTGATACCCAATAATACAGATTCTTTGGTACTAGAACATAATTGAAAACAAAACTAGATACTGCTGCACACTTAAAAAAGGCACAGCTTAAAAATAAATAGCATTTTTAATTATGCTCACTTATTTTTCCAGGAAATTAGAAGGTATGGGGGCATATCCACCGAGGTGGTCCTCCAAGTAGAATGCTGAACAGCACAGCTAGGACAGGGGATTGTTTCTTCTTTCCACAACTCATCTGCAACAGCTGTCAAATCAGGCACAGAAACAAAGTAAAATGGTATGTCTCCACTTTTTATTTTGACTCCACACGGACAGGAAACTGCAACAAAAACACATAGTTAGAATAATGCAAATCAACGTTTCATATTTATTTGATCTAGAACCAAGTATAAACAAATACCTGTACATCTTTTGACACCCTGAAACATATGGTTGATTGGGGACTGACAAATTACATCAAAAGTAATGTTCCTATGGAGTTCAAATAAAACAAAAGTATTAAATATTGTGGCTGACAAATGCATACAACAAATGAATAGCGTCACAACATACTTATGATTTTTTCGGAGTATGTGCTCCACAGAAAGAGTTTGGAGGATTCCATGCAGGAAATCTAAAGAGTCCTGATACTTTCCCACTGGAAGATAAAAGCATTATTCAATAATTAAAATAAAATGTGATCATGATTTGTGAAATTAACAGTTAGTATACATACTGAATAGTTCATGAAGGTGCAATGTTGGATGACCAATTTTAGCCTCTCTCATAGTGGACATCAGCCGGAAAAAACCACATGTTAAACAGTGCAGGAATAATTTACAAGTATGCCTGTGCTCAGTATCCTCTAAAAGATACTCCACAAAATGTGGAGCATGAAAAAGCATCTACATTTGTTTTTCAAAGAAACAATTTCAGCAACACTTGTAATGATGAATTTGAAAAAAGAATATAAGCTCACTAAGTTACCTGGAGAACAGCATTTACAAAGAGAGGGATATTGTCAACATTTGATAAACCAACATCAAAATGATTATTTTTTAACTTTGTTGAACTACAACAAGAGTTTCTTATAGATTGAAAAGTGTAAAAGCTGCTGTTCGGCTTTTCCTAAATTAACCAGAATCAGACAAAGATGATAAGTATACTTCTATCATCTGTTTAATAGTTTAAAGTAGTATTAAGTTCAAACAATACAGGGTCTTACAGGTGGTTTAACAGGCATAGCTGCTGAAGGCATTGTATCGAGATCTGACAGAATGTCTGGAAGTGGTGGGCTGTTATTGTGAGGTATCGCTGCTCCATCACCACACAATAAGTCAGGGATATTTGTTTCCTAGGGGAGAGGGAATAAAAAAGAAGAAGAACGGGAGAAATTGGAAAAAAAATTCAAAAGGAAAATGTGATGTCTAACTATATTGGCAAACCAAACATTACCGTTGTGAAGCCTTCCAATTCATAGATAGCTATGTATAAGCCTTTTCTTAAGTGCAATAATTCATCTAGAGATGCATTGGAAAACACCTGCACAAAAGAAAAGAAACAAAAATCAATAACAGGAAATTAAACTTATTGGCAAAGATATCTAGCAAGGAAAATAATTAAAATGATTCACTTCAGTGTCATCAAAGCTGGTAAAGGATCCGTCTGGGCACTGTGCCACAGCAACGTAATGGCCAGATCTAATTGTTGGACCAATATGAGAAACTGCACTCTGGAATTTGTATGCAGCTTTTCCCACTCTAAGTGAGCAATCTACTTTCAGATTTGAAGATAGTTTGACACCTTCCCCGTTCTCAAAATTAAATCTAGCAAAATATAGAATGCATGTTCAAAAGCGAGAAACAATTCAAAATAGAATATTAGCACAGTTAAGTATGAACATGTAACAGAGGGAGTCTGAACTGAAATCACACTACCTTGCTAACACTACAATCAGGGACTTTGGATAGTCTTTGATCGTTTCTTTTCTTACTAATGTGGTATGTCTCTGACAGAAACTACATAGGGCTAAGATCTCCTCTTCCAGCTGTAGCTGCTGATTAATGGCTTGGGCCACAGAAGTCATGGTATCATGAAGATTAACAAAAAGAAACTGGAGGGGTGAGATGCTCTCTCTTATTTTGTCACAGTCTGAACACCTATCTTTAAAATTGACATAACAGGAATATTGTAAATGTTAACCCTTGTTTGCTCACATGTATGCATAACAACCATGGGGGATGAGGGTAAAAAATAAAATCAACCTATATGTCTTTGCTTACCTCTTCTGTCTAGAACTCCCTCAAAGATGGAGCTAAGCTCTTCAGTGGAGGAAACCTGCTTTCCTAGAACACATAGGAATTTGATGAGCAGCTCGTGAGCGTCTTGTTGCTCTCCA